GGGGGTCCCCTTGCACATCTGGAAGGAGGGGATAGGCACATTGAGGGGGTGCTCTGGCACATCTGTGGGTGGTCCCGGGTACAGCTGAGGGTGCTCTGCCACATCTGGGGGGCTCCTGGCCACATCTGGGGGTGTGCTGACACACCAAGGTGGGGGCGGGGAATACATCCCGGGGGGAGGGTGTGTGTCCACAGGAACATCTGGGGGTGGATTTGCACATCTTGGGGTGTCTCCAGTATACGTCGGGGGGGTTCCAGCACATCTGGAGGGAGTCTGGCACATCTGGGAGCTCCCAGAAACATCTAGGGGTGCCCTGGTGCATCGGGAGGGGGGTGAGTCCTCTAGCACATCTGGATGCATCTCTGGCACATCTGGGTCTTCCCAGGTATATCTGGGGTACTCTAGCACATCTGGGGAGGTCTCCAGCACAGCTGGGGAGTCTCCAGTACATCTGATGGCTCTCAGTAACATCTGGGGGTGCCCTGGCACACCTGAGGGGGTCACCTCCAGCATATCTAGGGGTGCTGTGGGACATCTGGGGGTTCCCAGGCACATCTGGGAGTGCTTTGATGCATCAGGGGGGATCTCCAGCTCATATGGGCAGATCTCTGGCACATCTGGGGGCTCATGGGCACATCTGGGGATGCCTGGACACATCTGGGTGTGGTCCCAGGTCCATCAGTAGAAGTGCTCTGGCATATCGGGGTGGAGGTGGAACACCCTGCCTCAAGTATTTGGGAGTCCTCTGGCACAGCTGGCACAGCTGGCTGGCTCTCTAGCACATATTCCTGGAACATCTGGGGTGGCTTTCTGCCACAGCTGGATGGCTCCTATGAACTTTTTTGGGGGGGGCGTCCCTAGCACATCTGGGACTCCCTGAGGCATCATCATCTCCAATCCCTCTCCTGTGGCATCCAGGCGTGATGGACCAACCTCTGGTCCTGCTCCTGTCTTACCCACTGCTGATGGACCCATCACCGGTCCTGCTCCTGTGGCATCCAGGGGCGATGGACCCACCTCTAGTCCCAGTCCCATAGTGCCTGGGGTGATGGACCCATCACTGGTCCTACTTATGTGGCATCCAGGAATGATGGACCCATCTCTGGTCCCACTCCCATGGTGTCTGGGGGTGATGTTCTCACCTCTGGTCCTACTCCTGTGGCACCCAAGGGTGATGGACCCACCTCAGGTCCTGCTCCTGTGGCATCCAGGTGCAATGGACCCACCTCTGGTCCCAGTCCCCATTGTGCCTGGGGGTGATGGACTCACCTCTAGTCCTGCACCTGTGGCACCCATGGGTGATGGACCCACCTCTACTCCCATTCCCATAGTGCCTGGGGTGATGGACCCATCACTGGTCTTACTCATGTGGCATCCAGGAGTGATGGACCCATCTCTGGTCCCACTCCCATGGTGTCTGGGGGTGATGTTCTCACCTCAGGTCCTGCTCCTGTGGCACCCAAGGGTGATGGACCCACCTCAGGTCCTGTTCCTGTGGCATCCAGGAGTGATGGACTCACCTCTAGTCCCACTCCCATGGGGGGTCTCCCCCCCCCCCACCCAACCCCCAGCCACTCAGAAGGTCCCATGTGCCGGCAGGCTGCGGCAGGCGGGTGTGCCGTGTCCCCAGGCCAGCATCGGCTCCACACCATCCTGCAGCCACCCGGTGCCGGAGATGGCCCAACTCACCGAGCTCCACCCAGGCAACTACCTCTTCTACGGTGAGTGGGTTGGAACCCCCATCCCCACCACCCTGGTGGGACCTTCCCCCAGGTGGGACGTACCCCAGCCTGAAGCTGGACACCTTCTTCTCCCAGACCTTCAGCAGACCCAGCTGGGTTCCTGTCACCCGGAGGAGGTGGCCATCCGTGTCCTCACCAGGGTCATCGGTCACTACCCCCACCGCAACCAGCTTCTGGTGGACTGCGGGTGGGCCGCCCTCAGCCTCCACGGCCGCGCCCACGCGTTCCAGCGCTTCCCGTTGGACAGTATCTTGGTTCTCATCCCCTTCCATGTGAGTAGATGCCACGCCCCGCCCCCGCCACGCCCCGGCCACGCCCGGCTCAGCATCCCTACCCACCCCGCAGGCCTGCGCCACCGCCGCCATGCACCCCGTCTACTACGTCCACGCCGAGGGGAAGGTGGTGGAGCTCTGGCACCCCGTCCGTGGCTGGTAGGGAGGAGAGTGGAGAGGGGACCTGTCGAGACCCCGCGCCCACACCGAGACCCCCACCCACGTCGAGACCCAACACCCACGCTGAGACCCCGGGCCCACGCTGAGGTCATCGATGCCGGTTTTGTAGCCACACCATGATTCTGCAGCCATACCAAGACCCTACACCCATGCTGAGGTCCCACACCCATACCCATACTGGGGTCCCACAGCCAAGCTGAGGTCCCACACCTCTACTGAGGTCCCACATCCATGCTGGGGTCCCACACTTACATTGGAGTCACAGACCCATACTGGGGTCCCACACCCATGCTGAGGTCCCACACCCATACTGGTGTTCCACACTTACATTGGGGTCCCGCACCCATACTGGTGTCCCACACCCATACTGGGGTCCCACACCTACACTGGTGTATCAGACCCATGCTGAGATCCTACACCTATACTGTGGTCCCACACCCATACTGGTGTCCCACACTTAAATTGGGATCCCACATCCATGCTGGGGTCCCGCACCCATGCTGGTGTCCCACAACCATGCTGGGGTCCCACACCTATACTGGGGTCCCACAATGACATTGAGGTCCAACACCCATACTGGTGTCCCACACCCCTACGGGAGGTCACACCCGGGATGGTGTCCCATACCCATACCCATACCCATGCTGGGGTCCCACAGTCAAGCTGGTGTCCCACACCCATGCTGAAGTCCCACACCTATACTGGAGTACCACACCTATATTGGGGTCTCACACCTATACTGGGGTCTCACATCCATGCTGCGGTCCCACACCCATATTGGAGTCCCAAACTTACACGGGGGTCCCGCACATCTACTGGAGTCCCACACCTATACTGAGGTCCCACACCCATGCTGAGGTCCCACACCCATGCTGGGATCCCGCACCCATACTGGCGTCCCACATCCATACTGGGGTCCCACATCCATGCCAGCATCCTGCACCCATGCCGAGGTCAGGCACCCATCCCTGGGTGCTGCTGCACCCACACCGGGCATTGCTGAGCTCCTGCACCCACATCAAGACCCTGCACCCATGCTGAGGTCCCACACCTGTGCTGCTGTCCCACATCCCATACTGGGATCCCACACCCATACTGGGATCCCACACCCATACAGGGGTCTCACACCCATATTGGGGTCCCATGCCCATGCCAGCATCCTGCACCCCCATCAAGGCCATGCACCCATGCCGGGGTCCCACATGCAGCTGGAGATCCTGTACCCATGGACTATGCACCCATACTGGGGTCCTGCACCCATACTGGGTTCCTGCACCCACCCACCCCATACCGGGTCAATAAAGCTGCTTCTCCCATTTCCAGACACTTTGTCTCCGGGGCAGGGAGGGGACAGGCCGTGTGGAGACGGCGAGGGGGTACACCGTCCCCCCCTTTCCCAGTTTGGACCAGTGCAGTCCCCACGGAGCCGGTGCCCACCCGCAGCGGGACGCGA